AAATGAAAAAATATGGGAATGCCCTCCCCTCGATGGAATTCTTGCCAATATGCATCGAGGTTCTCGGCCCGATGGACCCCAACACCCTTAAATTTCTTAAGGCAATGTGTAAAATGATCAGCGTCAGATCAGGCGACAGCAGGGAACTGTTTTTCGCAACTAACCACATTTCGGGCTTGTTGCAGCGGTTCCTGCGTGTCTGTGTGCTTGAAAATATCCAACTGAATGCCGACATGTGCAATTAACGACAAATCAAAGTGTTGATCCATTTGTTACTTGATGTTTGACGGTTCAGTGTCACTCATCATGTTTTGGTTTTAACATACATATATACATACATACATACATACATACATACATACATGTACGTATCCAGGCATATATTATCATCTGAGAATGATCATCTAGCTAAGCAAGACAACTTAATTTTATTATTATATAATATATATATTATAATTATATAATAATAATAATAACATTATTATTTTATTGTTATTATTACACAATCATTAAAATAATTATGTAAATCTATGAACACCTGTGCAATTAACATAATTTTTAAACGTTTCTGTATAAATATTCTGATATTAATATGTTATAATATTAATTTAATTAATATTAATGAGATTATAGAGTTAATGATTTGTTTTGTTTGTAGCTTTTGTTCAGTTTTTCGTATTGTCGTTTTGTTTCTATTAATTTATTATAATATAACCCACCTAAATACTTTCATAATTGTTACCATTGCATTCATGTATGTAGAATGTCTAGCTTACCCTTCTACTTATTGTCATTAATCTCGGCTACGTATTTTGTACAGAGTGTTTTTTTTTGAGTTGGTTGGAAGTTTGATACTTTTCCTTCGTCACCCTAATTTGTAGATCCTCCGAATTTTATTTGTTATATTGTAGCTAATCTCATCTGTATCTATATCTCTATCTGTATCTAAGGATTTGTGGACCACCCCTATTGAATAACTTCTCACTAGGGAATGTCAAAACAATATGATTTGTATTGTTTGTAGTTTTTATTCAGTTTTATTTTTTGTATTTTTATATTGATTTTATTTGGAGTTTATAATTCTTGTATTCCATCTGGTTATTTTAACGCCATGCTGTTGTTATGAGTGATGGTATACATATGGTATGGAAGGGTGAGTGAATTTTATTGACAAGCACTTGTATGTATCACATGTAGAGATATTTGTTGTAACATAGAATTTTATTGTAACATTTTGCAATATCACCTGGATGTTTGAGTGTTTATCCATTTGTTCATCCGTTCATTTATCCATCCATCCATCCATCCATCCATCCATCCATCCATCCATCCATCCATCCATCCATCCATCCATCCATCCATCCATCCATCCATCCATCCATCCATCCATCCATCCATCCATCCATCCATCCATCCATCCATCCATCCATCCATCCATCCATCCATCCATCCATCCATCCATCCATCCATCCATCCATCCATCCATCCATCCATCCATCCATCCATCCATCCATCCATCCATCCATCCATCCATCCATCCATCCATCCATCCATCCATCCATCCATCCATCCATCCATCCATCCATCCATCCATCCATCCATCCATCCATCCATCCATCCATCCATCCATCCATCCATCCATCCATCCATCCATCCATCCATCCATCCATTCTTTCATTCAATTATCCACGTTGTTGTTTTTAATATTATAAATTATGGAAAAAAGAATGGAGAGATGGGGAAAAAGAAGTTTAGAGAGTCGGACATATCTTCAAATATACCCCAGCCGTAGTGTTGCTTGTTCCATGTTTGTCTTGTAACTTGATATCATTGTGTACGTGTTTTCATTGACTGTATCTTTCTTCGATGTCTGGCTCGTTGTTTATACATATTTGAAAATAGAAAGAGATAGGGAGAGAGAAAGAGAGAGAGAGAGAGAGAGAGAGAGAGAGAGAGAAAGAAATGAGAGCATTGTACTCTTTAGCATTGAAAATCTCACTGAGACCAGAAAATTTGCGTTAAAAAATTTAAAAGTTTTTCATTTTGCTTATCTATCATTCCTCCATTTTGAAAAATCTTTTATCAATTTTAATTTTTAATTTTTCTATTTATTCATTCACCCATCAATCCATCCATCTATCAATCTATCCATCCATCTTTCCATCAATCTATCCATCCATCAATCCATCCACCCATCCATCCATCAATCTATCCATCCATCTATCCATTTATCTATCTACCCATCTATCCATCAATTTATCTATCCGCCCACCAATCTATCAATCCATCCATCAATCCATTTATCTATTCACCCATCTATCCATCAATCTATCCATCTATCAATCCATCCCCCCATCTATCCATCAAACTATCCATCCATCCATCTTCGTATAATTACATGCAGACCTGTCTACCTGCATCCACTTAAGAAGTTTCATAACTCTCCCCCTTTTATTAAACCATGCATAATCCACAACACACTCGCCATTCTTCCCGTTCGTTTGTCTTCTCTCTCTCTCTCTCTCTCTCTCTCTCTCTTTCTCTCTTTGTCTCTTTGTTTGTCTCTTTCTCTCTTTCTCTCTCTCTTTGTTTTTCTTTCTCTTACACTTTTTCTCTTTGTCTTTCTTTTTTGTTCTATTTACTTTATCTTTCTACACTCTCTCTCTCTCTCTCTCTCTCTCTCTCTCTCTCTCTCTCTTTCTTTCTATATAAATATAATTATTCAGTTATTTAATAATTATTTATTTATGTGTGAGTTTAGCTATTTGTTTGTATAATTATTTGTGTTGATGTTTGTTTTTTCCCAACTCATGAAATGATAATCTGATCCGTCCATCTCTGACGTAATGCTAAGAGTATCTGGTTTCGAATCTGAGTTGTGATTGTGTAACATTATTTACTACAGGATTGAAAAGATTATTGATCGAATGATTGATTGATTGGTTGGTTGGTTAGTTAGTTGTTTGGTGAATGATTGATTGATTGGCTGGTTGGCTAGTTGTTTGGTGAATGATTGATTGATTGGTTGGTTTGTTGTGTTAACTGTTTGGTCGGTTGTATTGTTGGTTTGCTGGTTGGTTGGTCGGTTGGTTGTTGGTTGGTTATTTGGTTGGTTGGATGGTTGAAGTTTGACTTGTTAGCTGACTGGTTGGTTTGTTGTTTAAATGTTTAGTTGTATGAATAGTTAATTAATTGATTGGTTGATTTGTTGGTTGGTTTGTTGGTTGAACGAATAGTTGATTGATCGATTGATTGATAGTTAAATCGGTTGTTTGACCAATAGACTAAATAACTGATATATTGAAAATGCACTAAGACGTGTCAAATTTTTCAAATTTAGCTGATTGATGATTGATTATTAGCTGTAATGTAAAAAAAATATTGAACTATCTTGTGTGTTTGTGTGTGTTTATGTGTTTGTGCGTATGCATGTGTATATATATATATATGTGTGTGTAAGTTTGTGTGTCGGTTGTTGCACGCATTGTTGTTTGTTTGTATGTTGTTGTTTTTTTTGTGTTGTTGTTGTTTGTGTGTATGTATGTATGTGTGTGTATCTGTGTATGTGTGTGCATGTGTGTGTGTGTGTGTGTGTGTGTGTGTGTGTGTGTGTGCGTGCCGTTAGCACTGGTTATAAAAACAGAGTTTATTATTGTTGCTATTCAACTAATTGGCATATGCTTCGATGGAGTTACACAATGCAATCCCCTGCACCTCGCCTACACGCATCTACAAACTCTTATTATTATTATTTATTATTATTATTGCGATTATTAATTTGTTATTATTATTATTGTTATCACTATTATAGTTTTTTATTGTGATTATTAATTTATTATTAATATTATTTTTATTTATTATTATTATTATTGCTATTTTTTTACCATTATAATTATTCATTCATCATGAACCCCTGACACAGACCCCACCGGAGTTCGTCTCCTCTCGACCTCCACCTACGAACGTGAGCACGTGATCAAACTGTTCGATGACGTCACGGTGGAGTGTGCGTTCGAGGGTGTGGATGACGTGGTGTTCATGCACAACGGAAGTCTTATCGGGGGACGGGGCTATGATGGGTTGGTTGGGGTGAGGGTGGTGACCATGGTGTTGATGACGATTGTTAGGGTGATAGTGATGATGGGGTGGAGATGATGGTGTGTATGTAATTCATTTGAGTATGGTGAGAATATATTGTTGATTGAACGCAAATACTTTGCTTGTTTGTCTGTTCATTCGTTCGTTCGCTCGTTTGTTCGT